TCCGTATAATTGTCGGTAGAGGGGAAAATAGGGGAAGTACGCTTCTCTCGCGACCCTCTTTGCCATTAGAAGATTATGAAATTTATAAAATATTTTCCCAAAGATTTTTCTCGCCACGAAAAGGCAAAAAATCTTTGCTTTCCTGCCAAGTGCTAACTGCCGTTGGGGGAAAGGTTCGCGATGTACTTAACTGATTTCCGAGAATTTTCACACAAACACAGCTGCACAGGAGGGTGTCCCAGTGTGTGTGTGTGCTGAGTTTGTGTGGAGCAATCAGTTTAAAGCTGTCAGGGCAGTGGCAAGGATTTTCAATGAGGCTATAAACCGGAAACTGCTGCGAGTAATGCGACGCAGGATCCTCCCGGCAGAAACATCGTCACGGCCATTGCCAATGGTCGTGTGTGGATACTTTAATCAGAGCGAATGCGCCCGAAAAACACACACTTAGGTACATCGAAAAAAGATAGTTGGGAACATCCTTGTAGAAAACTGCTGCGACAAGCTACAAAAACGTTAAGGCTTACAAATATTCTTTTTCTTATGAAAGCATTAACAACGTTGACGCACAAAAAAACCAAATAGGGTAACTACAAAAATAACATAAGATCAAATTAAGCATGCTTTTCCGTATAAAAATTTAAATTTATTTTTATAGTTCGTAGTATATTGTTCTCTGTTGCTTTATTTTCGACCTATAGGTAATTTTCTGTAATTTTCTGGTACATAAAAGTCATCTAAAAAAGTTTTCCACTCTCACGTATAAGTAAGGGGGGTGGAACTTTCCATTGTTAAACTTTTATAACTCAAAGCCTCGATAGTTAACTTCTTTAAATAGCAATAAAAGGAGAAATGAGAATTTTATAACTTTGACTTATTTTTAAACTTGACCTTTTGTAATTGAAATAGCAACTATTTAAATTTACAGACATCAAACAAACTATTCGGAATCTAGAATTCAGTTCAAAATTAGGTTCATAAATTATTTGTAAGAAAAACACCGAACTAATTTTAATTAGCACCCAAAATTAATAAAATGTTAAATGAAAAATTCAATGTTCATTTCAAATGAAATTGTGGTAGTGTAGAGCTTTGCAGCGTGTTTTGGTAAACCTTTTCGGGGCTTAAAATGCGGAGCTGGAGTAGAAGTCTGCTAGTTACATTCCCCAAAACTCTCTTCCAAATGTCGACGCACTCTTTGCTCCATGTGTCCTCCCCTTTTGCGCCGAACTTAAACCGGCGCCTCGAGCATTTTAGGCTCATCGTCGTCGTCATCCTCATCCCCATCCTCATAGCCATTGCCATAGTGGGGCACTCATCCAGTCAAGAGCGGGGAAACGGGGCTTGCATTTGTGGTCTGGATGAGCCGATTTTCTGTTTTCTATTGCGGCCGGCAAAACGTTGACTCCTCAAGTTGTTATTTCAACTGTTTTTGCAGAAGCCCCTCTTTCGGGCCGAGGGTGTTCTTATTGCCGTTTGTTGTAACGCTGCTTGAGATGTCAAATAGCTGAGCGGTCTTGCAACAACATCAATAACAACAACAACAATAAGCAGCAACCGCAGCAGGAAGCACTTGAAAATTGAAATCAAGCATTGGGGCGCCAGTTTTGCAGTTGCCGTCGACGCCAACTGAGACGCCAACGCAGCACAAAAAAAAAGAAGAAGGAAAACAAAAACAATAACTATAACAACAAAAGTGGCAGCAACATCAGCGGAGAACAAAGGTCCTCGCCTTGCTATTTGCATATGAATATGGAGCACTTGGAGGCAGCTTTTGGGTTGTTGCTTCCAGCCAGCAACAAGAATAACATCAGCTACAACAACCACAAGCGATTTGCTGTTTGCCATATGAATAAACCAGCAACAACAACAACAAAGATTCGCAAAGAAAACTTATTGCTGATGCTGTTGTTATACCCTTACAATAAAATGGGGAACACTCCTCAAAGAAAAGCTGAGGATTTAGTTATAAATTATTTAAAGAAAGGTGTCTTTTCAATTTTGGTTATGGATATTTTAGTCTTGACAAACAAATAACAAGCTGCTTACTGGAAAAAACACTTACGTTTTACAAAAAGGTTTGATTTAGAAGTAAACCAATCTAAAAGCTAAAATTTAATATTCAAATCTGTTTTCGATTTATGCTTTAAATAGGTAGGTAACGAGATACCTTAAACATTAAAATTATTCAGCTTTAGAAATTTGAGAAAGTTTTTCCCTAACAAATTTACCTTACTTAAAAAGAGTATATAAGTCCTCGATTTTTGTTTGGTAAGGCCCCTCCCACTTCGACTTGGTTGTTGATGTTTGGGATGTTGTGGGTTGCCCCCATAGCTTTTGGTGAGCCTGCAGTGTATTGCCGGCGGCAACAATAACGCTCAACGCTTGCTGCCATTTGTTGCTGTTGCTATTGCTGTTCTTTCTGTTTTTGTTGTTGGCGATGTTGGCGTTGTCGGCGGTGGGCGATAGATGGCGCCACACGCCAGCGAAAATTGAATAAGAGGCTCGAGTTGAAGGCAATTGCCGAAGTAGGCAGGCAAGCGGAAAGCAGGAAGCTATACCAATAACAAACACACGTACTCAGAACTAAAGGAAGAGACTCTTGCACACATGCTGGGTTCATGCGGAGAGCCCATTTCACCAACATAATTTGAGTCAATTGGTGAGAAATTCAAGAATTTGGTAAACCGAAAAAACCTAACTAATTTAGCAATGTTAAAATGGTTGAAATCTTTTTGTAAAAATAATTTATCTGCTTCTTTTAGGTTAAACTTTTAGTTGAATCTTGTTTGGAAAAAAAAATTTTTAATATTGTTTTTACTTTCCTGGGAAAGTTTTGTAAATTGAAAACTTTGTGGAAATTCCGCATAAACCTGGTTACACACACCCACACACTGGCACGTAACAAGGAAAAGTTATGTAGTGTTCTGCGCCATGTTCTTTCGGATACCTTCCTCCGTAGGTTTTCCTTTTTTTATTTTCCCCCGTTTTTGCTTGTTTTGGGTTACTTTGAATTTAATGGAAAATTTATTGACGACATGCCGCTTAGTCGTTTGACTTGGACTCTTGCCTTTGCCTTCGAGGCAGCCACCCACCCACTAAACCGACCGACCGACCAACCAGCCACCCACCCACAATTTCGCCATTTCCTGGCCCCACCTCCTTCGATGCCCCATCCTTGCTGCTCCGTCATGTGTGCAAAGTTTTCGCATTCGGTTTGCTTTGGTTGGGCTTCATGAACTTGCCCATGCCCTGCACTCCAACTGATTCTTCCGAGCAATTGGGGATAAATAGTTGATGATTGTGTGTGGTCGGTGGGTTGGGGGTTGCCAAGAAGACAGGGGAAAAATCAGGCACTACTGATGAATGAGGGATGACCGCTTGATGTGTCTCGGATTGATTGATTGTCCCTTGCAATCCAATATGTTGCAGGACAGCATTTGAATCGTCTTATGCGGGTGGTTCGGGAATAACAGTAATCGCTCGCCATTTGCAAGGATATTTCCAAGACTGCGACGTTTTTTCCAACTGCTTGACAATTTTTTTCAATATACAGCTGACTGATGCTATTTATCAAAAGGCAAATTATTTTAAAAGCTTTGGGGTATTGATTTGTTTTATTTCTGAACTGAATAGTTTTAACTATACAGACAGGTATTCACATTTTGTTATACACATTTCAAGCTAATAAATTTTATGTTGCTCCATTTGAGTTTGAGGAAATTATCAAATATTCTTTGAACGATTTTAAATATTGATTTCAATAAATTTAACTCATGTAAATTCGTAATGGTTTACATTGACGAGCCACATCTGTAAGCTTTTTTGATGGCCAGCACACATGACTTGCTTGGCCAAACATCAAACGAAAAACTTATCGTTTTTTTATTTGAGTTTGTGGGGCTTTGATATGGTTACATTAAAAACGTGGGAGAGCTGCAGATGACTGACGAATGAGGGTGGCACAATGCCAGCCTAGAAAAATACAGGTGAGTCCAAAATTTGTCATCTAATTGACCGACTTGAATACAAAACCCCAGGTAAGATAGGCCAACTAATGCCTTTGACTTGTTCACTTATAACAAATTAGAATTAAACCCACGCTTAGCAAAATCAACGACGCAATAACCTCGCAATAGCCGGAGTACATGCAAGGGGACTATTCCGAAATTCTGGGGGGATTTGGCGGGGGTGTTACCTCCTGAACGCCTGAAAGCAACCCCCAAAAGGCGAAGAGCAGTTGCCGAAAATAAAACATTCACAAAAGCCGTGGCAAGGGGTAGTTATCCTGGCAGCTCTCCAGCTTGACGCCACAATCCTCACCGGAATCGTGCCGCGGAAGACCGAAAAACTTTTCTCGCGTGTTTTACCAACTTTAATATTTCATGTTGCTGATTTTCTTTATGGGATTTGGCCGTGGCAATCCCGGGGACAAACACCCAAACGAACGAACGAACCCACACCTTACCAATCTCAACCCCTTGAAACTCAACAAGTTTTTTTTATTTCTTCGTACTCTCCACTGAGAGTCTTGAAAGACCTTTCGAGTGGAATGCGGACACGCCTGCCATGTTACGCCATTAGTTTATGATTATTGCCTGAAGTTTTGTGGGTCCCCAGTGGAGTTTCAACTGGCACATCGAGTCAGTGCTGTCAACTATTTTAAAACAAAATTTAGCCAAATCAGGCAACAAACATAAGTACCAAAGGCTAAGAAACATGTATCTAAAGCTTATAAAATAAATAAGACCCTTATTTAACAGGACTAACTGGTTTGTTTTTGGATACAATTTGAATTCGAATTTTTTGTATTTTAAGAAAACATTTAATAAAGAATATTGATAGATAGTGTGTAATGGTTAAACCATAATAGTAATGAAATTATTAAGAGTTTCCAAAATACAAAGGCCTAAAAATACATATGTTTCACTAGAATAAAAGCCAAATTGACAACACTACTAGCAATTCGGAGTGTGAAATGTGACAGAGGAAACAACACTCACCTGTTGTTGACTCCTTGGTTAGTGTCAGTCGTCCATTGTGGTCGGTTAGCAGCAGCAGCAGGATCTCAATCAGTTGAATCACAAAAAGGCGTCGATTGTAAAACAAACACATTGCAATCCGACGTTTTTGGTCACCGCTTTCGGGCTGAGGCCGCTTTTCCTTGGCCCAACCGCGATTGTAATTTTGTATATCTTTCTGGCTGACGCGATTATTGGAACGTTAACGAGCTCTTCACGCTTCCAGTCAATTCGATTACCAAGAGCATTTTCTCATTGCTGCCCTCACTACGATTTTCGGTTCCGGAAATGTACGGAAATCGGGGTAGAAATCAAATCACCGAATTTTATTTACTAATCTAATGCACACACCCACGCACACCCTCACATACACGCACACACACAAAAGTATGCTAATATATTTGGGCTCACGCATAAATATTTTACGCGAGCAACAGTGCGTATACGCAATTTGTTTAATAGTCCGCACAAACATGCCGCCAACACGATGGCCTGGCGCCGATGTCATTTGTTTGTTAACGCTCAAATCGAAAAATTGATGAGTTGGGAGAACAGTGGGGCTTGGCAGTTAAAGAACCAAGAACGCCGAACCAAAGTTGTTCGACGATTTTGTACTGAGCTTCAACGAAAAATTTTTACTTAAATCTTTTGTTTAGCATGCAGTGTGTGCTATCAAATCAAAACGAGACTTTACAGGGATGAGTTAAAGTTTCAAGTAATTTTTAATATTCGTTATTATTTACTTGATTACACTTTTCATAAAGTTGTTCAAAAAGTTTTCCCAAAAGCTAACCAAAGTTGTTTGCTCCTTTGGTTTGTGTTCTCTTGCAAACTGCAATCACTTTGCTAGCATGTTTTTTTCTAAGCTTGTTTTTATTGGTCGACCTAGTTTAAATTGAACTTATGAGCCCTTGTACACATTCTAAGGATTCTATATTTACCTATACCTCACATTATATATAATATATATTCAAGTTAAGCCTAAAATTTCGATTAACTACATACTAAACTTTGCAATTGTTAATTTCATGCCAATGTTAAAAATAAATTTTTTAGCAAATCTTTAATTTGAGTGATAAAATACCTGAACATTTTGTTAAGGTGCGACTCTATTTAGAACTGACTGACAAATAGCTTGATGCGAAAAAGGACCATTAATTCAGCTGAAGGGTCATCCCTTACTCATTCCATGACACATCCTCCATTATCCTTTTATCGGCCTTAAATTCGTACTTGCCTCTTGCGTTTCCTCTGAGTTAAGCTGCGATAAATTCGCAGATTCTTCGGCTCAGATTCTTCAGCTGCCATAACGCACGCATCACCATAATAATGATAATAGTTATAATAATAATGATGATGATGCCGGTGATGATGCCACATAAAAGGCGGCGGGGCCCATTTCAATTTCAATTCCACAAAAGGCGCGTGTATCTCCAAGATACATTTCTATCTCGAGTGCGCGAATTCGCGCGGCAAACCAAAGCTCGCCAAAAAAACGAATAAATGAATGCTAAAACGTATTTCGGCATCGTCGCCATTACTATTATGTTGTTGTTGTTTTTGCTATTTCAACTATGAAAGGTTTTGCAAAAAGTAAAGCAAATCGCAGACAAACTTTTATACGTATGACAATTGAAAAAAAAGGGATTTCAATAAATCAAAAGAAAAATGCAAAAAGTGCTTGTGCGAGTTTAAGCTTCCCTTTTTTGTTTTGTATACACAGAAACAACAGCAGTCGTACGGATATTTACATATTTTATAATATTTTGTTTTTGTGATTGATGATATACATTTGTGTTCTTTGCTTTGCCTAATAATAATAATAGAGTAATATTTGCTTTATTTGAGTCGAAATGAATAATTCTAAGTCTTCGAATTTTTTTCCCTTTGTGTACGATGGCGTTTATTTGTTTACAGCCCAGCGAAAACTTTATTTCTTTGTTTAGAACTTTTTTTTAATATATATAAATTTCAGTTTTGGTATGAGCAAACCGAAAATTGGGAGATAAGCAAAAAAGCCGGCTGAATAAAGGAAATCATATTGGGGTAGTTGTTGTTATATAAAATGTATGCGAATTTTTGCACAAAAACACTCACAGATACGCCTGCCGCACACACACAGGCACAGAATCAGGCGCTCAGAAAAACAGAGAGCGAAAGACGAGATGAGAAGGCGAAGGGGCAGGGGGAGTAAGGAGAACAAACGAATTTCAGCAACGACGCAAATTTCGATTTCCTCCAAATTTCTACCTTCTATTATGCTCGTTCCCGACTTCTTCTTCTTCTTGTTTGGGCATCATATACATTTTGTTTGCAAAAAAATAAAAATAAAGAGCCAACAAAAAAACACAGAGAAGAAGAAGCAACAGCAGCGAGCTTACTAAGCTTTTTCTCTGCCGCCGTTTTGCTCCTTGTTTTTGGTACGCTTTCGCTTTGCTTTTGCCTTTGCTTTGCTTTTGGCTTCTTTGCTTTTCGGCGTTTTTATTGTATTGAATTGTATTTTGTATTTTTGCGGGCAATAAGAAGGAGCAGCAACTACTGTACTTGTTGTTTTACTATGGAGTTTTTCCTTTGCTACACATATCCTTTTTTACCGCTTTGTTTGTTTGGAATTTCTCAATTTTCAAATACTCAAGCCACCCACACACACAAAAACACGCGCAAGCACGCACTTTCAGCTTTTTTGGTATTTGCCTCTCCAGTTTCTTCCAGTTATTTCTCCTTTGTTGTATTATGTCATAATTTATTTGTCGCCCAGGACTAAACAATGCCGGAATTTCGTACAATTGATAAAGCCAATGAATCACATTTCGTTTTCATTAGCCCCCGTTTGTTGCCGTCTCGCTCTTTCTGGCTGCACCGGCTCCTGTTGCCTCCTCCCCCTTTTGTTTTTATTTTTGCTACCTTTGTTGTCTTTTTCGCATTTCCGCTTTGCGTTTGTGTTTCGCTCGCACTCACGCACTCACACACACCAAACGCTCGCACACTATTGGAGCTGTAATTGTTGTTGCTGTTAAGCTTGTTTAATTTTTTTGAATTAAAAACCGCGAATCACTAGCGCCGGCAAATTACTCGAGAAATCCGCAGCACAGAGCGACGCAACAAACACGTCCAAACAATTTGTTTGCCATAATTTTTCACGGGTTTAGAAACCGATTCATATCTTCTGTTGGCGATTGTTACGATTCTGGGTTTTGTATTAAAATTTAAATTTGCAATGCGACAATTGCCTATATGTTTACTTGTTCAGTGGTTCTGCAACACACGTAAACCCAACCAATTTTTGCGTGACATGCGCGACGTCGTCCGAACGCCCCAACAATTGTTTGTAAATTGAAAATTGAGAGGTGAATAATATTCACTGCAGACGGGAGTGTGAGGGAATACTGTAGTATCTTCGGTTCCGTCAGTCCGTTGATATCCAAAGACCTAAGCCCGAACGATTTTGCTGGTCTTTTCGACCGCTGGAGGGCGCTGTTTCCAGATACTTTACATTGGACAACATTTTCCTAACCGGCTAACTCTATAATCCAAAAACTCCGAGCCGAGAGAGCCACCCGAACGTTAACGGACTGTATCCGAGAGAGCGCGAGAGAGGCGGCGGCACTCACACAATTCAAATTCATTTGGTGCTGGAGGTGTCGGAAATTCGATGAAAACATCGAAACCGGCTATTTTTACTATCGGCTTCAGAAACGATTTTTTTACTATAATTTTTTATTTTGTGCTTTCCATATTATCTTTTTCTTTTTGCTTTGAGGCGTTTCAGTTCGGGTAGTCGGATAACAATCGGATATCTGTAGAATCCGATACACTATCCTAACCTAGCGAATACACCCTCCTAAACCAGACACAAACCATAACTCCTGAAGAGGGAAACCAGATTTAGCTTATTTGTTTTTCTATAGACCAATCGATCTGGTTCCGATTTCAGTTCCAATCGGATAAATTTAAACTTAAAAACCTATCAATTTCTGAAACATAAAAATCTGACATGAACAGGGGTTAAAAAGTCGACCACCTCCAAAATAAAAAATCTGAGTTAAATTTGCTGAATTATGGGTTAAGAAAGGACAGCATGAGGTCACAATACTGAAAACCATTGAAAACTTGGAAAATCCTGACATGAACAGAGGTCAAATTTTCAACCATCTCCAAAATAAAAAATTTTAATGCAGATCGCTTTGTAATTCCATCACAAATTTTTGGAGGTATGCCACTTTGAAATTGGATTAAAATTTGATTTATAGTTTTCGGATTGACATTATAGGAATCATTGAAAAGGAAACCAATTGATTGGTTTATTAGCTTGGTTTGGTGTATCGGCTAATTTTCTGTTAGCAAAATGTTAAATGCAGGCAACATCATGCTTTCATCGACTTAGTCCCATCTCTACCACTGTTAAAAGAACACAGCAACCGGTGGCACCAACCACGGTGTGTGAAAATATTTTCCAGGGATGGAAAAATATCGATTTTCGAAAAACTGAAATCGAAGGTTTACCACCTCTATGAAAATTTGTTTTTGTTGTTGCTCGAAATTGTTGTTGCGCGCGCGGACCGCGGACGAAAGAAAATCGGAACCTCGGAAAAGACGGATGAAAACAACGGCGCTTCGTCCGCTCGACTCGTGATTTTTCTACCGCTTTTGAGTGAGAAACCCGCCTGTTTTTTAACTGCATGTAAAGCGGACTGCGTGTGCGTGTGTTTGTGCGCGCGTGTACGTGTACGTTTCGCGTTTCTGTTGTTTTGTGTGGCCCCTGTAAATACAGTAAATACTCCAGTAAATAACGTGTTAAAGCGTGCGAAAAATGCAAAAAAAAAAAAATAGGGAAACGCTAAGGCGCTCTCTTTTTCTCTCTTTCTCTGCTTCCCCTGATTTTTCGCCGCCTAAGACCAGCATTTTGTTGTTGCGCAGCCTGCAAAATTGTGTGCGTCGTGTGTGTGTTTGTCCTGTGTGTGTAAATTCCAAAACATACGCCGCTGCACAGTGGCGCAAAATGGGGAAAACCGCATTAAGTAAATTCCAATTTCGATTCCCGGCTTTCGGGCTTTCCCTGTGTGCGTGTCTCTGTTTGGGTGTGTCGCATTAATGTTAATTTTCCGCTCAAGTCTTCTACCATTCCTCCATTCTATCCAACTTCGTTTGAAGAGGAAGCAACAAATGCGTCGCGTTGCCAACTACGTGATGCAATGCGTTTTATGGCATTCCAACCAAGTGCCAATTAGAATTGATTATTATTCATTATTTCGCTTATTACCCACACAAGCGCCTTGTTCTTGTGCGTGTGCGTGTTTAAGCGGCTCTCTTTGGCGTGCTCTCTTTCTCCCTTCCTCCACTTCACTCCTCGCTCAAACAAAAACTCCAGCCAGCCGCAACAACAAAATGGCAAGGCCAGGCAACAAAAAAATCGCCCTTTCTTACGTTTTTCCTTTTGCCTTTGGCGTAACGCAACGTAACGATTAACGTTATGTGAAAACCTGGGAAATAAAGCATAAAATTCAATTGCAGCGAAAATTGTGTGCGGCCAAAAAATGTGCGATAAATAAAGCCGAGAATTTCGGAATTAATAAAAGTGTACAACTCCGTGTCTAAAAGAATAGACGCGGTCAATGTCCGCCAGTTAGCCAAGTTCAGAGACACATCCTACGATCCAAAACGACCTAACAATATAAAACCCTCCCCCCCTTAACCGAAAAGCCGGCAAGACGACGTCCAAGAAGAAGCAGACGCAGCCGACGCGGCCGAAGACGAGCAGCATGTTCAAGTGCATTCCCATCTTCAAGGGCTGCAATCGGCAGGTGGAGTTCGTGGACAAGCGCCACTGCTCCTTGCCGCAGGTTCCCGAGGAGATCCTGCGGTATTCCCGCACCCTGGAGGAGCTCTTTCTGGATGCCAACCACATTCGGGACTTGCCCAAGGTGAGTAAGACACCCGCGAAACAATTCTCAAGACAGCGACTTACCAAATGCCTTCGGTAAAACTTATCTAATAACAGGAACTACAATTAAACCCCTCTTAAACTTTCCTCAGGCAAAATAACTACAGTTGGGATTATTTTAAAATGGGTCGGAAGTTATTCAATTAGTGGACTCTTTCGACAATTGGGAAAAGAAGTTCGAGCCAAAGAAGTTCGACTGTATACCGATGTCCCGGGAAAACCAACCTGAGCTGACTGGGCCTCAAACTTTAGGCTGCTGGGTGGTGCAAACCTGCAAATGTCATAGTTCACAGTACGTGGGAAACTGAATAAATTCCGACGAGACAGGTTTGGTCAGAGTGGGATCTACATAAAATAGTGGGTGGTAAATTAAAATTAAATATGTATAGATGCAGTAATAATGTTGGAATATGGAAATACAGACAGTTTAAGAGGAAAACGAGAATTAATTTATTCGTTCCCCAGAAATTCAAATATGTACATTTTTCTATATAAAAAAAATATTGCAAAAAAGAGCAGAGAAAAACAATACCTAGATGTAATTCCAATAGATGGTTGGGCATTCCGATAAAGATTGTTTGATCTGCTCAAACCCCTCATTTTTATCTCTTTAACAACTTTGAACAACGGCCTTGTCTGTCGGCGATGGCTTTACGTTGGCAAACTTGTCCCTCCAAATGGCCCTAAGCTCAAGGGGTTGATGGCTGGGCACGTAATTTGCATCCTCGGGTGCGTTGACCCCGCCCAGGGCCATTTCTCCATCCCTCCTCGTTCCACCTCTTTTCCCTCCTCCTTTTCCCCGTGAAAAGTCGAAGTCAGGGCCAGTCTCCCCTGGTCAGCTATCTGCTGGAGCATCAGCCATTTACCAAGACAACAATTACGACAAAAGAAGTTCCCCAGCCGAGCGGAAGTCTTTAATTAATGCGGGGAAAATGGGGGGAAAATCGCGAAGTGGGCTGAGTAGCATTTTTTCTTTGACAGTGCAGTCATAATGGAGAGTAGCTGCATAATTGAATCTGCAATTACGCAACTGGTATGCCGGGCAGACGATCAAAAAGCCCCGCCAAGTGCAGCATTCTAATTAGTGGCCAAGTGCCCTCCTGATAATAGCCACACAAATTGGGTGTGGTCGGCCGTTCTCGCTTTTCCAAAATAATTTCGGTCGGCCTGTGAATAATTCTGTCGTGGTTATTTATTTGGATTTGCCAGCGGTCTTCCGCCACAACTGCAGCTGGTAAATAAACAAGCAAACAAGGCAGACCGACATAAACATTAGTAGTATCTCGTTGACATAGCAACAAGTTGTGGGCGGAAGGCAGGAGATATCTCGGCTTGTCGTTGCAATTCATTTGCGGTCAGTCAGCAGAATCTTGTTGCTAGTTTTACTAGGCCTTCCTTTTAGTTTTCCTGTAGTTTTTTGCTCCAGCCTCCATCGAGCCTTCCTTCCCGCTCGACTGCACTCAGTAATGAACTTCTAATGCAAATTCAGAGCGCTATTCCGTTTATTGGAGCAGCCACATGTTGCAACCGCAGCAACTACATGTTGCTGCCGGGCAGAAACAGCAACATCTGATGGAACTACAATGGACAAGTCTCCCATATAATGATGATGTTCTGTTCGGCTGCCTAGTTCGTTTGAATGCTAAAGCGAATGACAGCGGCGGATGTGATTGTTGCTTCAGTTTAGCTTCTGCTGATGGAATCGCTCTGATCAACCCTTTCTGGATTGTTGAGAGCGGTACACAATTTCCGCGTTGTCATAGCATCGGCATGTGGGGAGGGTACACGGGAAAAAAGGAATAATAAATTAAGATTCATTATCTATTAATTCACTAATTAGGTTTTTAAATAACGATTACAAAATTTAAAAAGTTGATACCTGTAAATAATGCAACTCTGAAAGCTATTTCTTGTTTGACTTTCCGGATCGGTCAATTTTGTCTTTGGTCTGCCGTACTTTGTTTTCTATTTCTCTTTTTGAAGTGTAGCAGAAAAACTTCCTCAATTGAATCGTTGCTAACTCGACGACAATCTGCCGCAATCTACTGCCATTTGTTCCCTTCATCAAATGGAGTTGGCAATTGAATGGGAAAAAGCTGCTTTAAATTCCGTATTTTCCGCAATCATTTAATGGTCGCTCCTTCTATGCTTCAATGTAATTGGTTATTTGCATTATGCAAGTGCTCGATTAGGGCTATTCATCGTTGAGATACTAGAACCTACCCCAAGGAAACACTGTGGACACAACTCGGGCAAGAAATTGGCTTCTTCGGGGCATGCTAGCCACCCGCACCCATTCACAGTCGGAGGAACAGTCAGAACCGCTGGCCCCATTCATTTGGGCCAATTAGTCACGCTCTGAGATAAGATACCGAGTAATCACCTTATCGCCTGGCATTGCCCCAATGGGCCTGAGGTTCAACCTGCTTAGCAGACGGCCACCTACACCCCCGTTTATTTTTTGCCCTCTTTGTTGTTCGCCTTTCTGGCTTTCGAAACCTGAAGCGGAGCAGGTGGCTTTTCGGAAGGGGGACTCTTGTGAAAACTTAACCGGCAGTCTGGCTATTGAACACACACAAAGAGCCAAAGCAAGCGGCAATGACATCATTTGGTAGTAATCGCGTACCTGACACAGCGAACTCGTCGACAACAGCTACGAAAACAGCCAGCAAGAATCTAAAATGGCGGCGCACCGCTTTTAGTGAGTTTGGCTAAGTAAACGCTGCTCACTACTCGCCACACAACTTGGCTCAACACCTGCTGGCTACACCTAAAAACGGAAACAAAACACTGATTTTTGGTTATCAATATACATATCTTGGGAATTTCGTTGGCAATCCATCTATTATGGTTTAATTTCAATGGCACGTCCTAAAAAGAATACAGCAGAATAATTCTTTCATAGAAAATAATCCGATAACGCTTCTGTGATGTATGCTAAAAGAATAATTATAATTAGTTAATTCATTCAATTAGAAATGGTATAAAAGCTGACACATTTTTTGTGGTTCAGTGGCACGGTAAAAAATGTATTACGTTCACCGCAGAAATTTATCTGAAAATATGGTTCGGGTTTTTAGAGTAACAAACAAGCAATTAGTTAATTTGTCCATGAAAAAACTTTCATAACTGAAATGCTTACTGCGGTTTATTGTTGGCTTCTAAATAGCTATTCAACTGCAGTGGATAATTAAAAATTAAATAGGTTTATTCTAGCTGAGATTTGTAGAACAATAAAATTTAGTTGAACACAATTTATGCTTTAAAGTAAATCATGAAAGAGCCATCTATCAATATAAAAACTAAGCCGAATACATAAAATCACTGCTACTCCATTTGCCAATTTGTGTTGATTTAAAGAAACCAATCAACTGCGTTTACCACCTCGCCTTGATTAAGTTGAGTTCCGATTTAACTGCAGTTATCTTACAGCCTCGAGACGAACTGTACTTCACTTGTGGAATTTTTCATTCGATTTGTTTTGAGTTTTTCATTTCGTTTTCGTTACACTAAGCCAACGCTCGTCTCTCGCATTCCCCATCGCTTACTTTTTATTCTAGCCACTACTGACTGAGCTTGGGGAAACCGGTTTGCCTATAAATAAATAAATGTTTTCCACTTAATTGTTTGTGAAGGCTTTTGTGTATCAAACATTGCGTCTGACCAAGACTTCGAATTCTGTTCGCAGCTGTTTAAAAAGTATTTGAGCGAGTGGATGGTAGTCGAGATTCGGCAAAACGCAGCTTAGATTTATGGCGCCTGATATGGCAATTGCGTTTGCGTTTGCAGTCTCTGCATTTGCATCTAAAAGATACTAAATTTCGCAAGCAGCTGTTTAAGAAACAAGGAGCGGTTAAGTGCTTTTCCGTTGAGTTGCAGTTGGCTTTTTATCCAGTGGCTTCATCGTCTGCAGCCGGCCATAAAGAAAGTCGTTGGCTAGCTTGTTGGCATTCGCATGACAAATGCACCGAGGCGCACACACAAACACTCACTCTTCGGGGCTGCAGATGTTGGATAGAAAAATGAAGATGTACAGATTGGAACAGGCGCCCAGATACACGAAGGCAGCCACTGCGATTCCGAATCCAAATCCGATTCCTTCTGCGGATGCCACTGGAGAAGCTCGCAAGCTCGTGTCTTGTTTGTTCGACGATTACACATATTTGTATATTTTTTCGACTCCTCTGTTGCTGGTTGCTGGTTGCAGTGGCATAGGCAACCGGCAGCCATTTGTATCCGTTTACACAGAAGAAAATGGATACAATACAACTTAGAACTTGAAGGAACTTAATGAAAGGATCGAAAATAATTTCAACAGAAAATCAATTCGTTTTGACTTCTGATTTAGTTGGTGTTATTCTGACTCAGATTAAACAATTTAGAAAGGTGGCATATATTTTCCAAGCATCGATTATGTGTACAGATTTTTTGCTGTGTGTATCTGTATCTCCAGTGCGGCGTGAAATACTAAACGTAGTCGCAGTCTTCAGTTCCAGCTCTGCACATAATTGCCGCTGTCTGTCTGTCCGTCCGTTCGTCAGTTTGTCGGCTTGTTGGCTTGTTGGTTGTTCTAGCTCAGCTGGTTTTTGGCGGCTGTAGATGCGTTCGTTGAGATAGTATATATCCGTGCCGAAAAATGTATCTAGAACCCGTTTCGAGGCGACTGTGCGGCTCTTCTGGGCGCCTAGTCATTTGCAACATGCACACACCACTCGGCAACTGCTACATGGCGATATGTCTGTACGTGCGTACAGCCCGCTGTGTGAGTGGGCCAGATACATTTGGCTTTCAGATTACACTTGCAGATACTGGGGCACATTAAAAAATTGCTGGCGGGCAGCGAAGCGCACATTTCCATACCCCACACAGGTCATGGTTCAGTGCAGTTGCACTGGATCGCCGGCGGCATTGATGGTGGATTGCTGGATTGCTGGATTGGTGGATTGCGGATTCTGGACTTCATTTTCCGGGCATTGGATTCGGAGCCATCAGGGTCTATTAGTTTGGCTTTTAGGCAGGGCAAATTGGTTTACCGACCGGCCAGGCTTTTAACAATGCCAAATTGAATTGTTTTTGTTATAGCTGTGCGTCCGAGATAAAGTGCTCGGCCAGAAATCGAATTATGCACATGATGCAGCTCGAACTGGCAGCAACTTGTCTGTTGTCTGTGATGCAACCGCTGCGAACTGCTCTGCTAGCTCGGTTTTGGCCCGGCCAAAAGCCAGCTACTGCCGACTGCTGTGCGCCTGCTCCGACTAGATACAATAGTAAAAGTGTGCTGCCGAGTGAGTGAGTGAGTCCATATCTATATGTGCGCTTGAGTGGCAGACAAACTGGTAGTACTCCATAGTTGGTAACTACTCTGCACTCATACTCATGGCTTTATGTGCCGGCCGGCAGACCGGCCGGTAATTTATGGCCAAGATACACACACACTCACTCGCACACTCACACACCAACACACTCTCGCTCACACAACACAACAAGACCGAGTTGCAGCGTGGGCTTTTGCCGTCGGTTGGGTGGCAAAATATAAGGGGGAAGGCTCTTTTGTGCCCAGCACTTGGCGAAAAGTTTACAATTCGCATTCATTTTTATTGTCGTCATGCCTTGTCCTCGTTTTTGTCTCTCGGTCATTTCCCTTCCCCTCTGCCACCCCCTTTCTGGGCCATTTTCATATGCAAGTTACGTTTTTGCAGCTTTTCTTTTTTTTTTTCGGCCTGCAAGCTGCCTGTCTTCCTGCATTTTGTGATTTTTTTTCTTCTTTGTCGCTGACAGTTGCAACTTTTTGACGCATGATTTGTTGAAAGGCTTTTCGCTTTTTTGTGCATAAATAGCAAAAGGAATCTGGCCATTGTAGGTGGCCGAAAGCAATGCAGCTGACACTGATGGAGCCTAAGCTGCTTTGTCTTAAGAATAAAAGCCCCTTGTTCATTGCTGCAATGGCCAGTGGTTTTTCTGACATTGACTTTCTTGCAAACTTGTGGCAAAGTACACACGTTAAGTATAGAATCAAGCCTCTTAACCTTAGAATATTTACTGCATTTTTTGTACACTTTGTAATTCATTATGACTTTTATAGGCCGTAAAAACAAGTATTTTTATATCTTATTAACGAACCAAATCGAAAATATCAAACGACATGGTTGAACCAAAAATAGAGCAGACTGTAATAAAATAAATCATTTTATTTCCAGAGGAACTATTCCAAATCAAACACCAGAAAAACATATCAAAATAAATCAAGATTTATTTGTACTGTCAACTTTAAACTTTTAAAAATAATTTTTGAGTGATATTTTGAGTCAGAGTCGAATATGGATTTATGGGTTGCCGTACCCAAAATTCCTTTCGATCTGTATGTCCGTAAATGCCCAAAGCCAGAGTGTCTTGGCCGAGGTGCGGAATTCGGTTGTTCGGTGCCCCAAAAAACTGGGTCAACCACTCCAGCACTTGGCCAGCACCACCAGCACTTCTATTGTCATGTGGGGCAAACAAAGAACGCCAAGAACAGAACAGAAAAAAATAGAAAGAATTTAATAAACTTTACGGCCACAACTACGAATTATTTTCATTATTCTGGTGGCGACTGCTCTTTTGGGTTTGCCCCAAGTTACCAAGTTAAGAACCCCAACAACAATGGCCGATAAAAATCGCGCTGGCAGAACAAAAGCAGCGAAGTCTGCTGCATGTGCATCAACTTAGCAGAACAACTTTTGATATTTAAATTTTTTTCTTTCTCATAATTTGCCGTTAATTATCCGTAAATTATTCGTGAAAGAATCAAATTTGCCGCTCAACTTTTAGATTTTTTATTTTTAAAAAAACCTTAATGTTCTGCTAAGTTGATATCAAGTTAGCAGTACAACACACTAAAACTAAACTTTTTCAACTTTTTCTTTTACAAGAATTTTCCGTTAATTATCCGTAAATTATTCGTGAAAGAATCAAATTTGCCGCTCAATTTGTATATTTATTAAAACAAAAAAAGAGTTTCTTTTTGTTAATTTAATTAGCAGGCCACCCCGAATAAAAAAAGACGTTTCCACTATTCTTTCGGCTTTGAAGTTACCGAATTTTATTTATCCGTAAATTATTCGTAAGAAAATGTTATGATTTTTTTCTTGAAATAAATAATTTTTTTATTTTATGTTTTCGAATAAATATTAGTTGATTTTTTTCATACACTGCCCAAAATCACCCAAGAAAAATAAGAAATCAGCATTGAGATTTTTGTTATATGTATATTGAAAACTTGAAGGTTTTATTTTTAAATGTGTCGATCGACCGCTCATCAATATAAGACTCGTCTGTCACAGATTCTTGCAAGGATTTATTAAAATTTCTTTTAGTTGACTCTTTTCCAGTCAAAATGTATTTAAGGTCAACCTTTTGTTTACTATGTAAGTACATAAAAAATTGCCACGATTCGGTGACGATTTGAGCAAGTTGATCGTTGTAGCAACGCTATTTTTTTTCGGAGAAACCGCGTTTTTCACCGAAACGTGGCAACGCTATTTTTTATGTAGTAAACAATAGGTACTGAAATACGTTTTGACTGGAAAAGAGTCAACTAAAAGAAATTTTAATAAATCCTTGCAAGAATCTGTGACAGACGAGTCTTATATTGATGAGCGGTCGATCGACACATTTAAAAATAAAACCTTCAAGTTTTCAATATACATATAACAAAAATCTCAATGCTGATTTCTTATTTTTCTTGGGTGATTTTGGGCAGTGTATGAAAAAAATCAACTAATATTTATTCGAAAACATAAAATAAAAAAATTATTTATTTCAAGAAAAAAAATCATAACATTTTCTTACGAATAATTTACGGATAAATAAAATTCGGTAACTTCAAAGCCGAAAGAATAGTGGAAACGTCTTTTTTTATTCGGGGTGGCCTGCTAATTAAATTAACAAAACGAAACTCTTTTTTTGTTTTAATAAATATACAAATTGAGCGGCAAATTTGATTCTTTCACGAATAATTTACGGATAATTAACGGCAAATTCTTGTAAAAGAAAAAGTTGAAAAAGTTTAGTTTTAGTGTGTTGTACTGCTAACTTGATATCAACTTAGCAGAACATTAAGGTTTTTTTAAAATAAAAAATCCAAAAGTTGAGCGGCAAATTTGATTCTTTCACGAATAATTTACGGATAATTAACGGCAAATTCTTGTAAAAGAAAAAGTTGAAAAAGTTTAGTTTTAGTGTGTTGTACTGCTAACTTGATATCAACTTAGCAGAACATTAAGGTTTTTTTAAAATAAAAAATCTAAAAGTTGAGCGGCAAATTTGATTCTTTCACGAATAATTTACGGATAATTAACGGCAGATTCTTGTAAAAAAAAAAGTTGAAAAAGATTAGTTTTAGTGAGTTGTACTGCTAAGTTGATATCAACTTAGCAGAACACCCAATATTTTTTAAAAAAATTAAGCGGCAAATTTTTTTCTTTCACGAATAAGTTACGGATAATTAACGGCAAATTATGAGAAAGAAAAAAATTTAAATATCAAAAGTTGTTCTGCTAAGTTGATGCACATGTCTGCTGCGGCTGTTAACCTTGAGGTCTATGACTCAGTGAATCAGTAGGGGGCGCAACTTTCTTTCCAAAGATGAGTACTACTCCACATTGCAGGAAGGTCAGGGCATGGGCATGGGGCATTGGGCTTTCCTTCACTTTGGAAAGTCCGCGTGGAGTGCCAACATAATTTATTTCGAAATTCGAATCGAAGTCGTGATTTTCATAAATGAATTGTTGGCGACATGTCTCTGTCTGGGCTGAAAGGAAAGCTAGATGGCAGGCTGGCTGGATAGCTGGCTGGCTGTTTGGTTGGCTAGCTGGCCAAAACGAAGGATTCTAATGGTAAACTGACTGTTTTGACGGGTCACGGCACTAACAAATGACAACCTCTAAGAGATTTATGACCACGAAAACGAACTAACTGAGTTGCAATGCTGCGATGGCTTTTGTTTTGGAAAGGAGGCTCCCGAGTCGTGCTGAGGTCTAAATCTTGTTTTCTTCTCTCTTCCGTGCTTGCAGAATTTCTTCAGATTGCATCGCCTGAGAAAGCTGGGACTGAGTGACAATGAAATTGGACGCCTGCCGCCGGATATACAAAACTTTGAAAATCTCGTCGAACTCGATGTTTCACGCAATGGTAAGTTCAAGTCGTCCCGCCGACAAAATACCCCCATAAACATGCAACAAGTGCCCACGATTGTCTAAATGACATTGATAGACTTATGGCTTTGTCCATTTTCGATTTCGATTTTGTTTTTCGGTTAGATGGACAGCACGTGTCCGTTGATTGGCGTCATTGAATGACTGAATGATTGAGGGAGGTAGAGTTTATGTTTCGATATTTTCCCATCGAGTGCCACACACGCAATGCAGCTGATGTGGCAACAATTGCAAATGATAATTGCATCTGTGTCATTGATTGGACTGGATTATATTTATCTGCGGTGGGGATTGATGAGCCTGCAACCGAATCAGCATATTAAATGTCGCATTCAGCTTTCTCCCATGTTGCGGGCTGATCAACCTAATTATGGAAAATGCCGGTTTGTCACAAGCTTTGTGGTTATAATTGCGTTTCTGCGCACAAATTTATTTGTAATTTATGTTAGTTTCCAACACCTTTGATTGTTCTTAGCCAAAAGCATTTAATTTATGCTTATTATTTGTCCATTAAAATTCTGTTTTAAGAAACCCGCAGACTTAACCTTATACTAAGTACAAATAAATATGTAGGTATACAATTATTTAATCACAGCTAAGTTCAGTTTTTCGATTATATGCGCTCTTCCTGCGATTTTATCTTGTTAAATTGCGCTGTATTACGGTCTTTCAACGACTTTAAACTCAATTTAAGTGCAAACAATTGCTTTGTCTTATCTCGCATGGCTCATGCAACATCCGTATTGCGTTGCTCTTTTCATGTTTTCATACAAGTTCTTCCTCAAACAAAGAAGATGCAGCTGGGTTTTTAATAACTTTTCCCGAGCGAAACTTGTGCCACATACGCAGAGCCGCCCGCACAACCACGGACTTCAATCACCGGCATGCCCCCACATACACTGACGAGCAAAACTGTAACACGATTTCATTGTTTCAACTTCAAAGGTCTGTAACTTTTTTTCTAATGCACGGATTTTGAAGATCTTAGTCTTGTTTTGTAGGTTATATTATTTACTACTATTAAGTAAAATTCAAAGTCATTTGATATCAGTTAAAGAAAATGACGCGCCAAACTGTAAAAAGAGTCAAATGTTACAGTTTTGCACTCTGGTTATTTTTTTAAGAAATATTTTTATTAATGATTTTTTAATAGTGAGTTCACACCCCCTTGGACTTTTTTAGCTCTTCTATGCGTCTGGGCATATTTTGGGTATACCGTCGTATCATTTCCGGGGGAATATCATTCCATACGCCCTGTTGCCGCTCTCACAACTCCTTCATTCCACTTGGAGGAACTGTATATTTCTCCAGCTGCGATTTCACATGACTCCACAAGTTTTCTGTTGGATTCATGTCGGGAGATTGTGGTCGCCACTTCATAGATTGAAATTTCTCTTTTGAAATCCAATTTTTTACCAATATGGACGTGTGCTTGGGGTCGTTGTCTTGCTGAAAAACGCATTTTTCGGCAGAAAGACCCAACTTTTCAAATTTCCTTTGGAAGATTTTCTTGTAAAATGGATAGATATTGCTCCTTTCGCGTTATTCCATCAATTATCAACAAGGAACCAACTCCATTTAAATTAATGCTCCCCCAAACCATGATGGAACCGCAAACGTGCTTGATAGCGAATTGGGATACTATAATTCATTGCAACCAGTGTCTTAAAAAGCAAACAATTCCAAAATACTTTTGTTTTCAAGGTTTTATGGTCGGATGAAACAAAAATTAATCGCTTCGAGTCAGATGGGCGCTCTTGGTATTGGACTAGAGATCCCACGATCCAGTCACCAAGGAATGAGTGACAAACCGCTAGCGGTTCCATCATGGTTTGGGGGTGCATTAATTTAAATGGAGTTGGTTCCTTGTTGATAATTGATGGAATAACGCGAAAGGAGCAATATCTATCCATTTTACAAGAAAATCTTCCAAAGGAATTTTGAAAAGTTGGGTCTTTCTGCCGAAAAATGCGTTTTTCAGCAAGACAACGACCCCAAGCACACGTCCATATTGGTAAAAAATTGGATTTCAAAAGAGAAATTTCAATCTATGAAGTGGCGACCACAATCTCCCGACATGAATCCAACAGAAAACTTGTGGAGTCATGTGAAATCGCAGCTGGAGAAATATACAGTTCCTCCAAGTGGAATGAAGGAGTTGTGAGAGCGGCAACAGGGCGTATGGAATGATATTCCCCGGAAATGATACGACGGTATACCCAAAATATGCCCAGACGCATAGAAGAGCTAAAAAAGTCCAAGGGGATGTGAACTCACTATTAAAAAATCATTAATAAAAATATTTCTTAATAAAATAACCAGAGTGCAAAACTGTAACATTTGACTCTTTTTACAGTTTGGCGCGTCATTTTCTTTAACTGATATCAAATGACTTTGAATTTTACTTAATAGTAGTAAATAATATAACCTACAAAACAAGACTAAGATCTTCAAAATCCGTGCATTAGAAAAAAAGTTACAGACCTTTGAAGTTGAAACAATGAAATCGTGTTACAGTTTTGCTCGTCAGTGTATGCATTTTCCGCTCAAGCGAGCAGAAATCCGTAAACAGAGACCCGTAATTGGAGTCAAGTGCAGCCACTCCAGGCGACGCGCCGCATACATATCATAATAAATGGAAACAAAATATATACAGAAAATAACTTGAATAAGTAAATCAACTGCAGGGGAGGAACCCCTCTTTAAAAAAAAAAAATCCAACCCCTCCACTTGACTATATCCATGGCAACAACTGCTTACGACTTTGAATGGCTACAACTCTCGCTCATTCATTCACAGTCCCCGATGAAATATTATCGACAATGACGTCGACGAGGCGCTTCCCATTTCCGTCAAAAGGTTTCAGTTTCACTCGCTCGCAAAGCAAAATTCAGCAACTTCTTGGGACTCAATACATACAGAAGGAAAAATAATCAAACGTATAATTAATTCCATTAATAATAATGGTATTCTACTGATTTATATTCCTGATTACCAAATGTATTCAAGAAGCCAACTTTACTATTGCAAAAACGAATGATAATCTCTAACTAATTTGTTGGTTTTCTTAAGTGTAAGAGTAACTAGTTGCATAATTATTTTGTGTAGTTTATTCACTTTGCTTTGACCAGGTTGACTGCACTCATTACCTGAATTTTTGCTGATTTCAAAAATAACTTTGGCGGGTCGTGTTTGGTTTACTACTTACTGTAGCTTGTTGTACTGCTGATTATGCAGTTTAGTGTCGGCGGTTTGCCGTTTATACACATGACCCACAAATGACCAGAGACTTACGGCTCATGGATAAGTGAATGGGACCGAGAAGTGGTTCGAGCGAGCAGTTTGCCATTGCCGTTGAAATCTGAGCTGGATTTTCCTGGCGCTGGGTGAAAGGCCGCCCACGTTAGCCTCGGCCGAGATTATCCGCCTGGCAGGAATCAGTGATTAATGGTCGTTAAAGAGCGATAAGTCGATCAGCGAAATATTAAAAGATCTCTTTAGAGTGCAGGCTTTCTATTTGCCGAGTGTGTGTGTTTTACGTGGGTGGTGGCGTCTCCCTGGGAAAAGCCTTTCACATCCAATTCCTGCGGCGCCCAAGTGCAGGTTTTATTGGGCCCATTGAACCCGCTGGGCAAATGCTGGGGCACAGGTGCTCGCCGTAAAAGTTCGCCGCTCTGGTGTACCTTTCTACGTAATTTCCCATACACATTTTCTTATTGCCAACCGCAGGAAAATTGGAATTCCCCGGTGTGTGTGGGAGTTGCACATTTTTTCCTTTCCTCCATTTTCATTTCGTATTTCTTCTATGCTGGCTCAAATTAGCCAGCTCGATTTGTATTTGGCTGCAATGCTTCCAGCTGCAATTGCCACAACAATGTACGGTCTTGCCGCAAGCTCTGCAAGTGCAACAACAACTACACCAAGTACAACAACAGCTGTAATAGCAACAACAAACAAACACTCTTGCCCGACTGCACTTGACAATAGAATTTTGTACGCGACACTGGCGACGTGAATTGCCGAGTTTGTATGCAAGCGGCGGCTATAATAACAATTCTAATAAAAACACAAATTCCCCTGACTTTCGTGGACTGTGGGTGTACTGGTGTTTGCGTTTGTGGGTGCGTTAATATGGACACAGCTGAGCTCGCAGCATTAGCATCGATATAGTGACGAAGGAAAAAACGCCAAATATAAATAGTAGAAAAGTATATATTGTATGTTTCCATTTTCAAACAAAGCAGTGGAATATAAAAACATCTGAAAGATTTCTTTCAATTTTAAATGAGCTTTGATCTGGGTAAAATAAAATTCTTTAAATCTCAGTATCTGAAAATCTACAAGTTAGTAAACGTAATCTTCTGGAGCTTGTTTACAATCACAAAAAGTGAATAAAAATTAATTAAATCACTTCAATGACTGGGCTTCATTAACAATGACAAATACTATAATTTCGACCGCCACTGTGCACTTAAAGTACAGGTGTCATTGTAAGTCGCCGCTAGTTTTGCACGTAAATCATTATGACAAGTTGACCCGCTTACAAAACGTAAGCCAAAAGGGCTCTGCCGACGTCTCTGCCGGCGCATATTCATTTTTTATTTTCGCAAACTGCTAATTGTTTGTTTATTTGCTTATTGCGTTTTCTATTTGCACTCTATGCGAGTACATCAGCCATCTATTTTCGCTTTTCGCCTCCATTGCAGTTTTGCCGTTTATGGAGAGCTGCTTTCATGTCGTGTTTTGTTTATTAAATAACAAAAAATGTATGTTTTTTTAATGCCCCTGGAGGCGGTGCAGTTGCCAAGCCGAGTTTATTTGTACGAATGCGTTATTTTTGGCTAGCAGCGAACAATAAACAATAGAGTTGCGAGAACTTTTCGCTGGGCTTTAATTTTTGGAATGGAATGCAAGCCCTATTTGGTTTTCGTGTGACGAGGCGTATAGATTGCACGAAAAATGAAGGGTGGATGGGAA